CCCCCTCCCTTACACCCACTCCACCCCCTCCCGCTCCCCCCCTCAATACCCAGCAGAAACTATTTGCCCTTATCCCTAATTTGTTGTAGAGAGAAGTATAAGCAATATAATAGGAAGGAACAAGGGGTTTGCTGGTTGAGATAAGGAGAGCTATACAGGGCATTGACTCACATTGATGTTCCTGTGCGTGGGTGTTACCTTAGGTTAATTCTTTTTATCTAACCTTTTCTCTAGTTCCTGGTCCCTTTTCCTATTGGCCTCAGTTGCTTTAAGGTATCTGCTTTAGTTTCTCTGGTTAAGGGCAACAAAGCTAGCTAGTTTTTTAGGGTCTTACCTATCCTCACCCCTCCCTTGTGTGCTCGTCGCTTTTATGAAGGTGTAGTCTATATAGGAATACATGTACTTGTAGAGATTTATTATACTAGAGGCCAACTTTCATATCAGTGAGGAGACATTAGGTGATTCAATAAATAGTGCTAGAAAAAGCTTTGGCAAAGGAAAGTTCCTATAATTGAGTTCCTGTCAAATATATTACACACCACACACACACACACAAAATCACTGGACACACAAAAGAAACAATAGAACATTACAATGGATTATTATTTACAATGGAATTATTATTCATTTACAAAATACTTGTGTTTACTTTGTGAGAAAAGCAATAAACAGAAAAACATATTAAATTAAACATTATGATAAACAAAAAGAATCCTTTATGCTTCCCTTTTTGCTGATCTTTCTTTTATCTTTCACAGTATCTCCATTATTTTTTGTCCGTACTCATTGCTGCAGCTATGGCAATCCGTTTCATTGTTATGGTAACGATATGGACCACTGTATTCATAAATTGGTAAGTGATAACAAAGGAATACATTGCAAAATTTTGATCAAACAGTTGCAATGCATTGTTTTCATTATTATTTGGAAGCAGAGAAATATAACAACACTACTGAATAAGTGTTCTCTACTATATTTTTGCTATTCATATAGAAATTTACCAATGATGCTTTGCTTGAACTATAAATTACTAACAATACAATCCTTTTAATATTATGATTATTTTAAATGTTACTAACAATAAAATCATTTTAACAATATTATGATTATTTAATAGCCTTACTCAACCAAGAATGTTCAGTTCCTTCAAACGGTGAGTTGAGGGAACGTGGTTAAGGGAATGTTTGTTTTTATTGTTGTATCTGCATAGAAAATAAAATAATAGGTTTTTTATATTTCAAAGCACAATTTGCATATATTTTATATACTGGGGCACATTATGTGTCCAATAGCATTAAAGAAGGATTAGAAATGGTCGATTCTTTTCCATATTCCACTCAAGCTTTTTTTTTTTGGACAATGAAGGCATATTTATCAAGAGTAGAAGATCCTTAAATTTGGGCATCTTCCTTCCTATAAATGTGTAGAGATAAGTCTTTAGATATGACTATAGTACTTTAAATATTTGGAATTTTGGAGTTGAAATGGAAAAGACCTTTAACTTATATAGATAAGTTACGATATCCCAGTTGTGTAGAATTATAATATATTCTTTCTTTCTAGAGGGTTACTGTGGCCCATGCCCTACAAACTGGGTATGTTATAGAACAATTGCACCGATTTTCTGATGAGAGCAAAAACTGGTTACCAGAGCCAGGCTTCCTGTATGTCTCAAATTCCAGCCTTCTGAAGATTATAGTAAAGTGGACCAGGTTGAGTATTTAATTCCTGTCCTATATTTAATTCTAACACCCTAGGCAACTCAAGGAACACAGACTTGTAACATAAAGGCAGCACTAGGACTTATGTATCCTAATATCCACCCCAATCTTTCTTCATTGAATTAATGAAGCACAGAAGTTTCAGAGAATATGTGTGTACTGGTTAAGTGGGAATTGAGCTAGCTAGGAGACAAACACATTTTTTCCCCAAGTGAGAGAAGTGGTTGATTAAGGCTTCACATTTGCTAAAATTCTGAGCACTGAATTGTACTTTATTGGTGGTTTCACACAGGATTTTTTTAAATTGGTGAAGTCATATCATTGGATGGGACTAGTAAAGATTCCAACAAATGAATCCTGGCAGTGGGAAGATGGTTCCATTCTCTCACCCAACCAGTAAGTCTCTGGCACAATAGGTCTCTAGTTTTGGATTTGTTCCTAATCCATCCCTGTGGTCACTCATCTGTTACATTTTCTTTTGCAAAATCACAGGCATTCCATACTCTAATATATTTTTTAAAAGGTACATAGGCTGTAAATTTAGAAGAGTGGTGCAGAGTAGACAATATGAGTAGACAATATGAATAATAAAAATAACATAAATGATATATTATTGCTAAGTATTCTACAAGGTAGATGTATTATGTCTATTTTATAGAAAGGAGATTGAAGCAGAGAGGTTAAAGAATACCATACTATTTTCATATTTATTTGTAATTTTATTGAGATATAACTGACATACAATAAACTGCACATACATAAAGAGCAAAATTTGTTAAGTTTTGACAAGTAAACACTCATGGTATTAATAATACCAATAATTAACATATTTATCATCAGCAAAATTTTCATTTCAAACCTCTATGATCCCTTATTTGTGCCCCTCTGTACACACCTCTTCCTCTTTCGGGAAATGAATCTGTTTTCTGTCACTATGTATTAGTTTGCAACTTACATTTAATTTTTATTAAAGTTAAATTTAGTATTCGATATAAATGAAGTCTACAGTATATGATGATTATGCTGATTTTGTCTGTTTTTTTCCTATTTACCATAACTATTTTGAAATATACCCATCTTAGTATGAAGAGTGTTAGGTTTTTTTAATTCCTGAGAGAGAAGCTTATTGTGAATGTAGCACAATTTGTTGTTCCTTTTGCTTGTGTCTGCATATCTTAAGTAGTTCTTAGTTGCTATTTACAACGAAGCTGGCAAATAGGAGAAGGGAACAGGAACTAGAGAAAAAGTTAGATCAAAAGAATTAACCTAGAAGGTAACACACATGCACAGGAAATCAATGTGAGTCAACTCCCTGTATAGTTATCCTTATCTCAACCAGCAAAAACCCTTGTTCCTTCCTATTATTGCTTATACTCTCTCTTCAACAAAATTAGAGATAAGGGCAAATAGTTTCTACCAGGTATGGAGGGGGTGGAGGGGAGACGGAGGGGGCAGAGTGGGTGGTTAAGGGAGGGGTGGGGGTAAGGGGGAGAAATGACCCAAGAATTGTATGCACATATGAATAATAAAACAATAAAAATTTAAATAAATAAATAATACATAAAATAAAACATTAACTATAAAGTTGTAAATACCCATTTCAAAAAAGTTTAACAGTAAGAAGAGAATAAAATGGTAAACTGAAAAAAAAATGAAGCTGGCTGCTGTAAATATTTCTGGGTGATTGCGTGAACAGAAGCTTTTCTTTCTCTTGTACAAACGCTTAATAAAACGGTTGGGTCATATAATAGGTATGTGCTTAACTTTTTAAGAAACTTTCCAACTGCTATCAAAGTTATCAAGAAGTTTTACATGTTTTACATTCCCTCTAGCAGGACATGAGAGTCCTAGGTGCTACACATCTTGGCCAACACTCACCATTGGTCATTTAAATTTCAGACATTTAATGGGTATGCTACCTCAATTGTGTTTTTGACTTGCATTTCCTTAATGACTAATGAGGACCATTTCTACTGCTTGTTATTTTTAAGTTTTCTATTTCATTGCTTTTCTGGTATGATCGTGTTATTACTATCTTCTCATCGTAGGTTAAATTTGCTTTCTTTTTTCTAGTTTTTTATGGTGAAATTTGAGACATTGATTTGTAACCACCTTTTCTAATAGATGTTTTCGTGCTGTTAATATTTGAGATTATTGGCAATCTCCTTGTGTTACTGTGTTTTCATTTCCATTCAATTCTAAAAAGTTTCTAAATTCCATTCTGCATTTGTCTTTGATTCATGGATTATTCAGAAGAGTGTTGTTTATTTTCTAACATTTTGAAAATGTCCAGAGACCTTTCTGTAACTGATTTCTAATTTAATTCCATTTTAATAAATTTACTATGACTTGAAATCTTTTAAATTTGAGATTAGTTTTATGAACTTAACTGTACTTTACATTTTGGAAATGTTCCATGTACATTTGAACAGAACCATATTTGAGTACAATGTTCTAGAAGTGTTAATTAAGTCAAGTCAATTGACAGTATGGCTCAAGTCTTCAGTATTCTTTCTGATAACAGTCTGTTTACATGGTTTTGTTTGTTTTTGAAAAAGTATCAATTATAGAAGAACTGTATTGAAATCTTGTATCTTGATTATAATATGAAGAATAAGTGCATCTTTGCAGTTCAAATGTCTTCTGCCTGACATATTTTGAAGCTCTGTTACTAGGTACATAAAGGTTTAGTATTTGGACACTTTCCATTAGCATGACTTTATCATTATATAATGAACTCTTTGGTTTTTACACAATAACATTTATTTTCACTTGTCAACATTTTAATTATATACATTTATGGAGTATAGTATGATAATTTAGGACATATACATGCATACTGATAGAATCAAGATAGTGAACATTTCCATCTCCTGTAATATATAATTAACTCTTAAGCTAATGTGCTTTGAAATTCTTTGTCCATTAGAAGTATAGTCACTCCAACTTCTTTTCAGTTAGAGTTAATATGGCATATATTTTAATCTATATGGATCTTAATATTAAAAGTGAGTCCCTAGTGAACAGACCAGAATTTTACTTTTTCATCCAGTTGGATGAAAAGTTTTAAGTTTAAACCATTGGTTCTATTCATTTTCTTTTTGTTCCATTTTTAATTATTATTATTTTTCTCCTTTTGAGTTCTTAAAAAATATTGTATTTATTTTGTCTCTTGTTTTGGCTTATTAGATATTTTGATGTTGGTGTTGTCTCCTCTAGTTTATTTTGTGTATTTTTATACATCAGTGATACTATATCACTTCATGTATAGTTTAAGATTTTCACAATATTATCTTTCTGTTTACCCCTTTTCTAACTTTGTGCTATTTTAGTCATAAGTTTACCTTTATAAATATCATAAATCTCATGCTGTTACTATGAATTTTATTCAAACCATCACTTATATTTAAACAGTAAGAAAAAAATTATGAAACTTATTTCATTTGTGCCACCATTTTTGGTAGAAACTTATTTCCATGTGGTGTGATAATTACTCTACATTAGGGGCTTCTTTTAGCATTAATTTGTACTTTGGATTGTCTGTTGATAAATATTTCCTCTTTGAGTCTGAAAATTTCTTTCTTTTACCTTAATTTTTGAGAGATATTTTCATTCATAAATTTTTAAGTTGTGTTTTTTTCCTCAGTACTTTCCAAAAAATTCTCCTCACTTCTGTTATTTGCCTAAGAAATCTGTTCTCACCCTCATCTTGTTCTGCTGTATGTAACATGTCTTTTTCCATATAATTGTTTTTCTTTAATAATTTGAGAAAATTGTTTGGAATATGCATTTTTTAGTTTTCTTTATATTTCTTCTGTTGCATTTTTGAAACTATTGAATAGATGTGTTTATAATTTTTACTAAAATTAGATTACTTAATATTATTGTTTCTTCAAATCTTTTCCCTCCCCATTTCTGTGTCTTCCTCTTCAGGCTCTCAAATTACAGCTACATTCAGCTCATTGAAACTGAAAATTTTCACTGATGCTCCATTCACATTTTCCATTTCTCTTTGATTTTCATTTTGGATAATACCTATCATCAAGAAAAATAATTAATCTTTTCTTCTTTAAGGTACACTGTTTCCTTAATCATATCAATGTATATTTGATCTCAGGCATTGAAGTGTTAATTTTGAGATGTGTGGTATTTGTATACTTTCTATGCATTTACTTAAATTTTGGAAACATGGAATGTGGTCATAAAAACTTTTCTAAGCTGTTTACTCTGCCATCTGGTTTAGTTCTGGATGCATTTTTATTGATTAATTTATCTTCTTATTATGATCATACTATTCCATTTATTTACTTATCAGCTACTTTTTAAAATTAAATTCCACACACTTTGAACTTTACCTTCTTTGATGTTGTATATTTTTGTTTCTTAATGAATCTGTGAGAATTGTTTTTGTAAGACAATGGAATTTATCTCTGTTGTTATCATGTAATTTTATTTAGAAACTAATTAATCTGTTAGGGTCTTGCTTTTAAGTAATATTAGTCAGGCCATTCAGTCTGAAGTTAATTATCCCCACTATTGGGATAAGTCCTTTCTATGTAATCTGCTCAACTGTGCATTAAATATGAGGTTTTACATCATGGCTGGTGAAAACAGGCATGGTTTTAGAGCCTATGTAAGCACTAGGTACTACTCACACTAAGTCTTTCCTTACAATTTCTCTCCATCTTTGAGTATTTCTTTCGCACACATGCACTAATTAGAAGTCCGCTAAGTACTCAAAGGGAACCATCTGAATATGTATCTTTGGGTTTCATATTTATTGAGATCTGTCTTCTTAGGTTCTGTATGCTGGTCTTTATGTACTCTCAGCCCACTATTTTATCCACTTGATAGCACTGACCAACTCTGCATACCAGGGCTAAGTGACAAGACTTTGTTATTCATTGAGTTTAAGAATATAGCCTTAATCCTGTAGAAGAATGCCAGGATAGCATTCAAGAAAAGTCATTCTTATCATTTAGAAGTGCTGGCCTATGATAAATTACTGTTTAGTAATTTGTCCATTCTGACACAAAAGATTGGGGGGGTGGGGGAAACTAAATATTTTGTTACTATATCTTTCCTTTCTTTTGGTTCCATAATATTCAAATGAAACAGAAGTTTTTAAGCCTGCAAATATTTTAAATTTCTTTATTTCAGAGACATTTTAGTTACTTGAATATCTGATCTCTCCATAAAAAATAAAAATAATCCTAACACAACTAATGTTAATGTCAGATTAATGACGTACTTCTTATCTGTCAGAGATAATTTCAAGACCTATGTATCCACTCATTAAGGACTCTTAAATATCTCACATAACAGGTATTAATGTGGCTTAATCTTATTAATAAGGAACGGAATCATAAGAGCATATAAATGGTTCACTAAAGTCATGAAATTAACCATTGTTGTAGCAGGGATTCTGATATATGCATACTTGACACTAGTCCCAGAGTTACCATCAAATGACAAATCATTTTTCACTGATTTTTAAAATTTGTTTCATCACTCTAATGTTTAATGGCTACAGTCAGTGATCAACCTTTTAATCGTCATGTGCTATTTCCAAAGACTATGACAAGTACTACCTATCTTCCTCCCTCATTTAATATTTGTGATGTAGAGGCTCCAGGACACTTTAAAATTAATATAAGATGGCCTAATTTTTCTTTATTTGAATTTTTTGTAGTACTGGAGATCAAACCCATGGCCTCACCCATGATAGGCAAGTATACTCCCCCTGAGCTGTATCCCCAGCTCTGAGATTTTATTTTTGACAGAACAACATATTCTTCTCTGAAGATTGTAATAGTATTGCATGTCATATTACCTCCACCTGCAAAGTATAAAATTATTTTTGTAAATCAAATCATTAGTATGCTAATTTCTGCTATTGACTATATCTCAAAGTATTTAAGTAAAATATCTTTCGAGCCCTAGTCAACTTCCAAGAACTATGTAGATATAACTATAGAGGTGAATAGGACATAACTCTTTCAAGAGTTTCACACTACAGTCAGAAATGTCATTATAAGGGGGCTGGAGGTATACTTCAGTGGTAGAAGTCTTGCCTAGCATGCATGAGAACCTGGGTTTAATCCCTACCAACACAAAAGAACTATGAAATATGGTTTTAAACAATTATAATCCAGTAAGATCAGTATTTTGAAAGAAGTGTGATGAGAGTGATATGGGAAAGCAGACACAGAAATCAAAGGAACAAATGAAGAAATTGAAATTAGAGAAAATGAGCTCTATCATTTCTTTGTAATAAGAACATTTTAAAAAAATTCTCTTACTGTATTGCTACCTGTAATGACCACTTTGTGCAATAGAACGCTTGAAATGACACACGTGAGATGATGGACATGCTAACTACCCTCATTTGATCAATATGCAGTATGCACATATGTATCAAAACACCAGATTGTACCGGACAGAAACACATATAATTATAGTGTCAAAAAAATAAATAAAGAGGCTCTAATGTACTCAGATTGAGACACTAAGAACCGTTACTAAAAATCTCTTAAATCTTTTTCTCCTGTAGTGTCCAGTTGTTTTTATACAAATAACAGGTTCACCTCAATTCAATATATGGATACGCACTCATATGCTTGTGTGTGTATTTTTCTATTTATTTTATTTCTTTATCAAGTAAAATTCCATATGCAGTAATCCCTTGGTACCCACAGGAGACTGGTTCCAAGACCCCACACCTCTCAGCAGGTGAATAACAAAACCCATGGAGGCATAAGTCCCTTATATAAAAATGAAATAGTGTTCGCATGTTACTCTCACACACAACTTTGTGTACTTGGAATCATCTTTAGGTGACTGACAATATCTAATGGGAAATAAATGCTATGTAACTAAATGTTACATCATTTAGGGAAGAACAAGAAGAATTGTACATTTTCAGTATAGATGCAGTTTATTCTGAATATTTTTTGTCTGCAGATGTAGAAATGTAGAACCTACAGATACAGAAGGCCAATAATATCTGAGGTCGATGGTGTATTTTTCTGTAAAACACTACAAATGTTGAATTCTAAGTTGAGTTCTTAATTTTAGACATCTAAAATGATTTAATGTCCAAAATATGGAAAAATAGTAGCATATAATTTACAATAGAATGCAAATTTTGTTTTGCTATCTGTTTCTATTTTGCATATCCATGAATTAACTGGGCCAGATAAGGTCCAAAAAGTCCTGTAATATCTTTTAAATTCCTACATTACAAATCATACAAACCTTATATCATTTTTGTATTGCTGCTTAAATATAGCCATGAATGTAATGTGAAATTCTCTCTGATCCAGATTAACATTGGTGAAAATGCAGAATGGAAGTTGTGCTGTCTATGGTTCCAGCTTTAAAGCCTATACAGAAAACTGTTTAACTCCAAACACCTACATATGCATGCAGAGGGCTGTGTGAGGACTTCATAAACCATCTCAATAAAAACCAGGAATAGAGAAGGAATTCTCCAACAAGAAAAATGTCATCTGGGATGACAGGAAACAAGGAAAATGAGACAAACACAGAAAACAAACTTCTTAGGCCCTTCAGGGCCAAACCATAGAACAATTCACTACTGCAAATGTCTGATATTCTGCAAGACAACGGAGGACAACTCAGGGGTCATCAAGATGGCCCTTCTCACCACAACCCAGATGGTACAGAATAGGCAGGTGGGAGACATCTTGGATATCTAACAGTGGGACCAACATCTAGAGGAGTAGTGAGTGAATAAGTCCCTACATAGTTCTGGTGGTACAACCTTCACCAACTAGAAAACTGCCATATGGATAGTGCCACAGCAGAGACTCAAGGGTAGGCAGTGCCATGTCCAGGTGGGGACATGATGCAAGAAGACATGACTTCTCCCCTTGTGCACTGGAGGGCAGAGTATGAAGCCAACGAAGATTCTTCTTGAGCCTTAAGTCTTATGGAGTTTGCCTTGCTAGATTTTGGAATTTCTTGGTATCCATCAGCTTTTCCTGTTTCCTCCTTTTGGGATAGGAATATCTATTTGATGCCTGTCCCATCATTGTATTCTGAAAGCACATGACTTGTTTTATTTCATAAGTTCACAACTGGAGAATAATTTCTCGTTCTCACCTACATCTGACTTGGATAATATTTAGATGAGATTTTGGACTTTAGGTGAGTAGATACTGGAAGGAGTAAAGACTTTTTGGATTTTGGGGATAGAATGGATGTGTTCTACATATGAGAAGGACATGATTTCATTGTCCAGGAGTGGAGTATAATAGACCAAATGTTTGTATCCTTCCAAAATTCATATTTTAAATCACAACATTTAGCATTATAATATTGAAAGGTAAGGATTTGGAAGAATGTGAAGGTAAAATTCTCGTGAGTGGGTTAATACCTTAAAAGAAAAAAAAGATTCCAGAGGCTCCACTAGTCTTCTGCCACAAGAGAATATAATGATAATTGGACTCTACAACCTGCAGGAGGGCCCCCACCAGGACAGAGCCATGCTGGGCTTCCAGCCTCCAGAATTGGAAGAAATAAATTTGTGTTGTTTATAACTCATCAATGTATGGGACTTTATTATAGTATCCCAAATAAGCTAAGTTCAAATGAGAAGATAGCATCATACTGGGCACACTGAAAATAAAAGAAAATGTTTTATAATATTGTTATATAATACATTGCAACTTGGGAAAAATATTCCCAAACTGACAGGCTGATAAAAAATTCTGTAGAATAGCAAAAATAAAAAATAGAAATCACAGCATAAAAGCAACCACAGAAACTGACTTTTGTTTTAAGAGTTTACGATAAATTTGGGGAAACTTAGTTTCTATTTTAATGGTTGTCATGGAACACTGGAAACACAAAATAAATCTTAGGGGCCACCAAAACTGAAAGGAAAAATTGAAGGTCTTTTTCTAAAATCGTGATTCCCCCAAAGGCTACAAGCTTATAAAAGAAGTAACAAAACCTACAGTTCAGGAAATAGTAACCAGGACTTTTGCTAGTCTCTAACCGCTGATGAGATGGAAGAGAAAATGAGAACCTTCAGCAAACATTTGTAACCACAACTGAGTGCTCATTAGGTTTACAGCCCATGTTTGGTTCTGGCTAACAAAGAGGTCCAAAAGCATTGCAGTAAGAAATATTTTAAGTAGTTCAAAGTTAATAATAGTCTGACCATTAATGAAGTTACAAGAATTTGGTTCTTGGGTCCAGATATCGTGGAAATGAGACCAGACCCAAAGGGGTGCAGACAACACTTTCATTCAAACACCTGCTCAAATCACAAGTAGATCTGACCTATGGCAAGTCAGGTAGCTGTTTCCAGGACAAAGGAAAAGGGGTATCTAATATAGGAAGTGTTCCAAGCCAAAAGTGCTCATCAAGCTCTTTCAGTCAACAAGGGAATCCAGTTTACAGAGAGACTTCACTACTGATTGGTCACTGTCAGTATCTACACACACACACACACACACACACACACACACACACACACACGCACAAAAGGATTCAAGCTTGCAGAGAGTGTCTGGTTCTGACTGGTAGAATGTCTCATCTCAGTTGTGGGCAGCTCATGGATCAACCTTGACTACTAGGGACAGGCATGTTTTCAAGAGCTGACACTTCCTTGCATCTGTGTTAGTAGGATGTGTTTGTAAATGTTGTATTTTTAATTCTGGGGCTGCATGTGAGTCCTGGATCACTATTTATGCCCTTTCTTGGGTTTGCTGTGAAAGCACAAAACAGGTCTGATCTGCCAGATGGACCATTCCTACCATTTAATCACTTTTTCCCTCTTTTGGTTGGTCTCTATGTTTAAATAAGTCTAATATTTTCTGAAAGAAAATCACCTCAAACAATTCTTAGGACATCTGACAAATAACTTCCCAAATTCCCTGAACACAAAGACAAAAATTAGAAAACAAAGGAAGTGAGCGATGATGGAGAGAAAGAGAGGGAGAGAGACAGAGACAGACAGAGAGAGAGAGAGAGAGAAAAACAGAGAGAGAGAAGGGGAGCGACAAAGAGAGAGAACGATATAATAAAATTGATAAAATTTTAATATACTAAAAATTGGGTTAGGGTTTACAGTCGTTTTTTGTTCTACTCTATCACAATCTTTGTAATCCTAAAATTTTTTCAAAATAAAGATCTAAAATGAGCAAGCAAAATTGGGGTCATGTTTGAAGCCCTCTTTCTCTTATACACTCCATCTAATACATCAACAAATCCATGTGATATGCACATACACACAGACACACAAGACTGTAGACATTTCTTACTACCTCCATTGCTACCAGGTCTATTAATATTAATAAACTGCAAATTATTATTTGCATGAAATAGTTTTATTTTACCTTAATCTTGGAAGGATATTTTTACTGGGTATTTGGATGTTATTCTGGCAATTCATTTGTCAGTTTCACCCTGAAATACCATTGAATTCTGCCTCCTATTGTTCTTGCTAAGAAGTTAGCTTCTTAGTTTATTATTGTGTCTCCTCTTCTTACCACCTTTAAGGTTTTCTGTTCTTCTTTGCTTTCAGCATCTTGACTCCATTATGCCTTAGAATAGGTTTTATTTGTTTATTCTGTCCTAAGTCTTCTACATACAGGTATAGTTTCATTTGTTCTCTAGTCTCATCCTATGATTTCAATTCTGCATACATTTTCCTGTTGAGTCCATAACATAATTTATTCTTCAGTTAGATGTTTTTTTCCTGCTGTCTCTTTTCATTCATGTATTTTATATTGACTAGCTTTGAGTTCACCAATATTGCTTTCTTGTTTTAGTCTTCTATTTAATTTCCATTGAATTTTAGAAGATATATTTGATTGTTTTGGAGATTGAAATTTTATGATAAATTTTTTTTCAGATAAGGTCTCACTTTATAGCAGGCCAGCTTCAAGCTTTCTTTATAACCCTCACTGACCTCAGATCCTCCTGCCGTGGTCTCCTGAGTGCTGAGAATTTGGACATACACTACAGTGTACTTCCTTGACATTATTAACTCATGTCTATTTCGTCTTTTACCTTAACCAGTCAACCTTCTCATAGACAACCATAAATAGGCAAAGATAAACTAGAATTTTATAAAAACCCAGAGTCTGAAACTATAATAAGGACATTTATTTTTAAAGTACTGAAAGATCACTAGGTCTTAAAACTAAATTCAGAAACGTTTTATTTAGTACCTCTGTCACAGTAATACCCTTCACATTCATTATTTTCTTTTACCATTCCTCATTGCATTTATCCTGTTATTAAGTATTAACGACTAAAAATTATATACGGACTTTGAGTTTAATGACATCTATTTTCTACTAAGTAAATATTTCACATAGTTGAAGTCATCATGCTGGAAAATATCAAGCATTGAAGCATTCACTGTTTTTTCTTTCTGATATATTTAATCTGAATATATTCTCTTCTTAAAGATATAATAGTCATTACTTTGGGAATCCTCAGAAATTATCCAGCCATATTTTATATTTTTATTAGCAATCCATATCCGTATTAGAAGAGAAGATACTTTCCCTAAAATGCCAAATTTAATTGATATTAGTAGCATTTTTAAAATTAATTATATTTGTATGTAATTGTGAAGATGCAGAAATGATACTTTCTCAGTGTTAAAACAATGCAAAGAATGATAAATGTATTATGCATCACCCAAAACTTAAATCTGGAATTGGAAATGGCAACAATGTTCATAATTCTGGCTATCAACCATTATCACAGACAATTTCCAACTATTACTCATTTTTCCTGAGAGTAAATTGGGACTTTATTACATCACAGCCAGAGTCCTACTTATGTAACTGGTGGCTCTGCATACATTCTACATTACAAATAGTGTTTTGATCATTTGAAAATAATGAATATTTCTACATATTTTAATGTAATGTTATGCAAATGTGAATCATTTCATGTTAGTTGATAATATATTCTGACTTTATAAACCTTTTGTCTAATTGTTCAATCATGAGTGTTAATAGCTCCATTTATGGTCATGTCTCTACTTTGGATAAGGTATGTCAAATTTTGCTTCATAAACTTTGAAGTTTGCCATGCATATTTAGGAATATTCTCTTTTCTTAATGAATTAACCCTGATGTAATTTTGATATCTTGTTTTAAAGTTTACTCCATCTTTTGTGAGCATAATTACATCAAATTGTTTATGATTATTTGCCTGGTGAATTTTTTCTTATGGCATATCTTTATTCTACCTTTTACTTTCAGCCTGAACCTTATTGTTTAAAGTGAGTTGAGTGTAAACATCTTATGCTTGGATTTTTCTTTCCTTCTATTGAAAAAATACCCTTTATTTAATGCATTTCATTAAATGTATTTATTATATGATGGATTCCCTTTATATCACCCTCTTTTGTATTTTTTCATGTGTCCTTTGCCATTTTGAACCACTCTTGACAGTCTTCTGTTAATATAATATCTTTTATTATTTGTGTGTATTTTAACTGCTTTATTACATTGTTAGGTATACTTCTTTGTCTCATTCTGCTTTTTGTTTTCTTAGGACTTAGATATTTATTCTTAACACCCATTGAAGTAATATAATTTCACATACAAAGTCCAAATTATAATAGTTTAGTTTCACTTCCACTTGTATTTATTTCATTATAATTGCTGCAATGGAATAATTTCTTTCAACATATAAGTCCAGAAACATATGCTATTTTCAATTATATTTTTATTAGGATATTATTGTTGTACTAAGGGTAGACTGTGACATTTACAAAAGTGCTTACACTATATCTTAGTTAAATTCACCCATCCATCATTCTCCTTTATACCCTACCCCCCTTCTAAGAATAGTTTCAACAGGTCTCATTTCTCCATTTTCATACATGAGTACGTAATATTTCCACCATAGTCACCATCCTTCACCCTTTCCTTATATCCTGCTCCCTCTAACTGGCACCAACCCCCAGACTGGACCTGTTTTTACCTTTGTCCATTTTTTTAAAAAAAGAATTTTTTATTTGCTTAAGATATCTGTACAGGGAGTTTCGTTATGACGTTTCCATGTATATACCTAACATCTCCTGAATTCATTCATTCCCTCCATTTTCTCCTTTCTTTGTTAGTCCCTTTCTTGAGGTGAATTCAATAGGTTAAATATTCTATATACATTATTATTTTCTTTTTATTACCATATTATTGTTGTACCTGGGATACACTGTGACATTTACAAAAGTTCTTACACTATATCATAGTTAAGACCCTCTATCATTCTCCTT